CAGTAGTCGTCGGTTGTTACAGCAGTGACAGGAAGAGCGGGGAATCAACTGCTCCTCGGTAAGCGTGGTATGTTCCAACAGAATTCGAAGCAACCCCTTGCGGATTTTATCCAGCAACACGACGAAACTAATCTGTGTGGAAATTCGATCGAGCAAAAGCGTCAAATCTTCGCAGAGCGTTTCATCCAAGGGAAGTTTCCACGGAATCGAAAACGAACAAACCGAATCGATGAGCTCGGGAGTCAAACTCTCGGCTGTGGAGCTAGCTGTGTTCACATCGTCCTGTAGGGAGTGTGGAGGGGATGGACAAAGCGAGGGATCGAAAAAGGCGAGGAGGAATTGATAAGCGGAAGGATTGGAAATGTGCAAACTGATCGAATGAATCAAATCGCGACAAAAACTGGAAAGTGTGTTGGCTTCTGCGCAGAGGCGCGCTGTTTGTTGGATGAAATGAAGGAGTTGGAAGCCTACGCCGTATAAAGGGCCTTTGTAATAAAGATTGTCGTTTAAAAGTGGAAGCACGTGCAGTAAAAAGAACGAAAAGTCAAATCGATTGGGGTGGGAAAGGAACGAAACGACAACAAACAGGCGGATTTGAGGATTGGCGTGGCGTAACGCCCGATCAAACAACACTTCGATCCACTTCGCATCGATCTGCAGCGGTTTCAACTCTTCGAAGGGCGTTTCATCGCACTGAATCGACCAAATTTGACCCCAAACGTCCTTCAAAAGATGCGTTGCGAACTCGTCGATCGTTTCATAAATTGACAAAAATAACTCCCAGCGAGATTCGGTCCGTTCCCGCCACTCCTTCCACTCCTTCTCCTCTCGATCGTGGAAACAGGGAAACAGGGAAACATGCGAAAAGGAGAAACGGAGAACCGAATGGAGCAGCGAAAGCCCGAACTTGCGAATCGCCGCGCTTTCGCTCATCAAATTCGATCGAATCAGCGTCATCGCGGGCGTTACATCCACAAAGCCGGTGAGCCGTTCGAAGTAAACTTGGAGCACAAAGAGAGCGTTCGTTTGGAATTCTTCGTTGCCGCGGGAATAGAGAGAATCGAAGAGGGATTGGATGGTTTGCTGGGCAGCGGGGGAGTTGATGTGAACTCCGAGCAGATCGAGAGAAGAGGCGAGGAAAAGGTCTAAAGACTCGTGGATTGGGATGGTGGAGAGTTTGAGATAAAGAGAAAGGGAGGAGTATAATGCATGGAATTGATCGTGTCCGATCCATTTGGTTTCAATCCATTTTGAGATGCATTTGGATGCATTGCGTAGGAAAAGGAGGTTCGAGGAGAGGCAAAACTCATCGTACACGAGTTTCAAGAATTGTTCAAAGATCATTGAGATACTTTCGTTATTTGTTTGATCAATTCCGCAGTGCGTAGCGAAGAGATCCACGATACGATGATCGTTTGACTACCACATCAAACAAATATTAAAATACAGAAACAAACCTTCAACGCCCACAACACGCACCACTCCATGTAAGCAGTCGATTGCTCAAGGGTGAGGGAAGAGAACGTTTCTTGAAGTCGAGATGCGATCAGAAACTATCAATAAACCGTTCAAATGAATACAAACATAAGCAACGCTCTCTGCGCTGTTTTCCTCCAATCGAGTCCCTTTCACAAGGTTCATCCACTGTTCTTCATTCCCTACACACTAATTCCCCATCGTCCAAATCCAAACAGTCATTCCCCTTCCCCTTCGCGAACATCGCATCGACTAAGAGCAGCAAGGCGTCCGTACTCACTCCGGGCACTCCCACCATGCGGACAAATGCTTCAATCGAAGTATCCATCGAAACCGAAATTATGAAACAAACATCGCAGATTACATACTCATTCTCCGATTCATCAGCACAATATTATAATCGCTGTATCCCTTCACCTCTTCAAACACTCCATCCACGAGCATATCGCTTCTTTTCAGCTTCTTGTACAACTCCATTAAGTACTACGCATCAACCTCGCATTTCGCCCTCACCGTCAGCACTCTCTGACTCTCCGCGATATCCACATCCTTCACGTACTTGCATCGACGCAATCCCAGCACACTCCGATAGATCGTGTACATGTGATTCGGCTCCAAGTCGCGATATTGCTGCCGATGCGTTCCCAAATGCAGCAGCGTTCTCGACCCCTTATACGCCTGCACTTGGATCGTCGGGATGAAGAATCTACGTCCCACCCTTCCCCCAAATCTACCCAAAAATCGTGATTAGCCACGTAAATCGCCTCAGAACCGCGGGAGTCGACCCCGTAATGATCACGCCCGGACAGCCCTCGAAGCTCTGCACGCCGGTGTGGTGCAGCATTTCGTTGAGCGCGGGCTGCAGCAGATGTACGAAGTACTTTAAGCCGTAGAAACTGTTCTCGCTGCGCACGTGCTGCGGGTCGAAGAAGCTGAAGTCCGCGCGATTGCACGTCGTGGAGCCCGTCCAGACCACACGGCCCGGCAGCTCCGCCTCCTTGAGGAGGTCTTTGAGCTCCATGACCAGGATGAACGGACTCAAAACTTGGAGGCAGAAATCGCGGGAGAAACCGAGGTCCGTGGTGCCAGAACCCTTCACGGTGACGAAGTTCTTCCCGTTTTCGCTGGTGCGGCCGGTGCTGCAGAAGTAGGGAAGGCGGAAGGTGAGGAAGGCTTCGCGCATTACATCCCAATTGAAATGGTCGATGTTGATGATGCTGTTGTTGAGGTAGAGCACGTCCAGGGATTGGTAGTTCTGGAGAATGCGCTTGGCCGCGTACATCACGTTCATCGGATTCGACATGTCGATGGCTACGATGGAAACACACGCGTAGGATCGTAGTTTGAGTAACCGTGACTTAATCCTGCGTTCTGAGGCGAAAAAACTCGGTTCCTACACCATGGCTCTTTTCAAATCCGAAACACCGATAATAACGTGGTAGTTCTTTTTCACTAGCTTTTTACACAAACTGTAACCGATTGCGTTATCGGCTTCCACGACAAGCGCAATGCGCCTCTTGCGATTGAAATAGATAATATGATCCTCCACAAAGCGATTGACATAATCTGAGAACTGCTCAACAGCCTACAATCGAATCCGCGTTTCCGAAAATACCTTTTGCAGGTTAGTCCTTTTGTACAAAAAAGAGAGGATTGTGAGTACAAACGACGAGTTCCACACATTTCGCATGAACCACAACACAAACTTCAAAAAATGCCCATAAAGCCAATTCTTTGTTCGTTTGAAATATTTTAGCATTGGAGTAGACAATAAGTGTGTTTGATACCTGTACAGAATAACAGGGAACTGATAGTCCGTGTCTTCTGAGAAAAAGCAAGAGCGACTATAGCTCAGTGGTAGAGCATTCGATTGCAGATTGAGAGGTCGACGGTTCAATCCCGCCTGGTCGCTTTTTTGTTTCTAGTTTTTTTCTATTTTTGAATTGAAAGAGTGAAGAAATGGATGAGAATTAGGCAGGAAAGTGAGTTTGTGTGCCTACTTATGGAGGGGATGGAATTAGAATCAGGTTGTTTGAGTGTATGGGAGCGCAATGTGTACACTCTAAAAGAATATTAGGCTTATTATTACATCAACATTTCTAATCATTTATCCTTCTCTCTAAATCCATGATATTTTTCCCACGAACCCACACCTTCTTCCTTCTCTCCTATCAACTATCCCCAAATCCCCCCTCTCTCATTCATTATTATAATAATAATTATTATTCACTCATTCAAACAAACACAACCACTCGCTATTTGTCCATAACGTCGTTCATCATCGGTATTTCCGCAATCACATTATCAGACCGCATTTCTCCCGACCCGCGAACCGAGATAGGCGGCACGTTTGTCGTTTGCTGAAGCATCGTCGGAATCATCCCCCTCCCCATTCCCTCAATCGACAACGCTGACATCTGCATGTAGGGAAGAGACGACGGCATTCGGGACTCATACAGCGAATTCGGCAGATTCGGATGCTGCCGCTCGTAGTGCTCGCGCAGCTGCGCATTGTTCATGAACTGCTGCTGGCAGCCGCTCACCGGACAGCGCAGCGCGTGCTTCTGGTCATGCGCACTCTTGATGTGCGCCAGCAGTCCCGACCGGTACTTGAACACTTTCCCGCACCCCGGCACGTTGCACTTGTGCGGAGACGGCCTACCCATCACATCGGAGAAACGGGGAAACTCGTTGGTGTGCGACCGGAGGTGCGGCTCCAGCATTCGTTTCGTTCGGAACGCCGCGTTGCACCCGGGGAAATCGCATTTAAACGGACGCTCGCCCTACACAGCATCATGAATCGTGGAAACGTGGAACCGTGTGCTGGAGCTGGTGCTGATGGAGCTGAGAGGAAGTGCGGAACCGCTTATTGCACCCCTCCACATCGCAGAGATACGGTTTTTCGTTGCTGTGGATGCGAAGATGACATGTCAAACCGCTCTTCGTCGCGAAGAACTTCTGGCAGATCTTGCACTGGAACGCCTACCCTCGACCCTCCCCGCGGGACTCACCTTGATGTGGTTGTGCGTCCGCATGTGCGCCAGCAGCTGGCTTTCGTAGTGAAACAGCGCGCCGCAGCCCTCCACGCTGCACCGATACCGCTTCACTACACATCCCCGCGGGAACCCGACCCTACCCGTCTTCGAGATGGTTTTGAACGGCGAGTGGCACACACTGCAGAACTTGGAGCTGTTCCCGCACCGCGTGGAGCACACGGGACACCGTTTCCCCTTCTTCACGCGGCTCTGCGAGTGTTCGATCAGCGTCGACGTCCACACGCCCGTCTCGTTTTCCGCGCTCTCCCCCGCGGGGTCCGCCTCCCCGCCGGCCTCTCCGCCATGCCCGGTCTGTCCAGCACTTCCCTGCTGCGCGGCATTGCCCGGCTGCGCGCCGGCTCTGCGCGCCGCGTCCATTTCCATGAGCATGGCGCCGCCCTCGTCGATGTAGCCCTCGCCGCTGCCCGCCAGCATCGCTTCGTACTCCCCTTCGTACCCCGCCGTCGCCTCGCCGCGTCCGCCCTGCGGCAGCGCGAACTCCAGCAGCCCCGCCGCCGTCCCGCTCCCCATCAGCATCCCCGACTCTCCCCGCGGAACCGCTTCTTCCAGCGCGTGGCCTTCCAACAGCTCCCCCGCGGGACGCTCTGCTGACAGCAGCGCCTGCGGAGCCAGTTCCGCGGGGAGCGGCGCGCGCTTCGCTAGCGGAGGGTCGTGCAGCAGAAGAAGACCGTCCGTTCCCGCGGGAGCGACCGCGTCGCGGGGAACCGCGGGACGATCCGCGGGGGGAACGGAGTCGGCTCCCGCGGGGACGGAGGGGAACAGGGCGCTGGGGGCCGAGTCCGAGGGATAGGGAACCGCGGGGGACCGGTTAAGGGAACAAAAGGGGAAACGGGGAAACCGAAAAGGGGAAACCAAAAAGGAGAAACTCGATTTGACAGGAAGGGAAGGGATCAAAGGTGGAAACAGAGGTAAACGTGGAAACTCGATTTAAAAAGTGGAAACCTCACCAATGAAACTCCCATTTCCCATCATTGAATGAATTGAATGAATGAATGAATGAACCACCTCCAATTTCCCCGTTTCCAGCTTCCCCATTTCCCCGTTTCTCCGTTTCCAGGATATTATTATTATTACTATTATTATTGTTCACTTTCTCGCGGTGATACACGGTTTCCACGCGGTCCGTCAGCATTCGGTAATACACCCACGCCCGCATGATCGAGTCCATTTCCGCGGGAATCTGCCCCGCCACCGACCCGCGGTTCAGCACGTTTTTCAGCAGCAAACATTCCCGACCGAACGCCTGCGTCATTTGCCGCTTCAAAGCGCGCAAAAACCCCGCCAACGGACCCGCGAACTGCCTCCGCAGACGCTACGTCGCATCCCCGCGGGAATCCTACCTGCCCCGAGGGGAACCGCGGGGAACTGAGGCGAAGCAGGCCCTCATAAGTGACAAAAAACTCCTCTTTTTCGTAGGCCAAATCGCCGAACTGGATAACCGCGATTTTCTCCTCCCACTACCCAGAACCGCGGGGATCCGGCCCTACCGGCACCAGGGGTTTCACCAGCGCGGCGAGTTTGTCGCGGGAAAGCGGAATTCCACAAATCGAGCCCAAAACGTCGTCTAGTGCCAGAAAAAGCTGCCCTTCCTGCAGCCCGAGCCGCAGTTTTGCGGTTTTTTTCTCCCCCACGGGGAAGTCCCAGACCACGCAGTTGTGCCGCTTGAGGCGGAGAACCGCGGGGACGCCCTCGGGGCTGAGGGAGGCGTAAGTGTTGGTCAGTTCGGCGAGGTAGTCGTAGGTGGCTTCTTGGCGCGCGTCCCCGCGGGGCTCCTGGCTTTCCGCGGGGAGACTGACGAGAATGGGGGCGTCGGGAGGAAGGTCGTGCTGGTAGGAGGGAAGCGCGTCATCGATGATGTCCATCTGGGACATGGCGAGAGAACGGTCGTCGGGGTGGCGGAGAGTGGAGGCAGGAGGCTGCATCGCGTCGATCTCGGCGGAAGGAGCGCTGGGAGGGAGCGTAATCGCGGAAATAAAGGGCTGGCTTTGCGACACACCCACGTTCAGAGAGGGGGTCACAGATGGATAAAAAAACGGAATTTGCGCTCCTGACTGTTGGTAGGCTGTCTAGAGAATTAGAAAACAAAAATAAGCCGCTGGCAAACAAATAACGGCTGATGAACAGGGTTTTGCGATGGGAGATACGCAGCCATCGAGGGTTGGACTTGATCCACCTGGCTGGCTCCCCCATAGTGCCCGGATGAGAGAAGGTCCGATTCCTACATTGATCAGTAAAAGCAGGAGAAAACCTGTAATTCACGATTTACAGCCTCCGAGTCATCTCGAATGTGGGCTCCCTGCTGATTTAAAGCTTCCGTCCCATTGGCTTGTGTCTTCTTACGAGTTATTTAGCTCATTGAAGCCTCCTACTTGCCCTAACACAGAAACATCATTAGATACAGGAGAAGGCTGGTGAACCTACGCATTCAAATTCCCTTGTGTTTTCACTTTCGTCTCGCTGTAGCCGTTCTTTGTTGCCTCTTCCCGCATCGTACTACACCACTAAATGGACACGAATGAAAAATTCTTTGATGCAAACAAACACACAACTTTTTCTTCGCATACGCGCTCTTCACCATCTTCACGAGTTCTCCGTACGACTCCGGCACCGGCAACTTCAACTCGTTCATATACGGTAGCAGCCCATTCACATCCAGCACCAGCTGATGCTTCATCTTCTCCTCATCCGTCTCATCCACGCCTTCCATCATCGTTTCCGCGCTCACTCGCTTCCGATGCTTCGACAGCACTTCCTCCATCCTCGCAATCTACATCATCATCATCATCCCCGCGGTTCTACCGTCGCTAAAATATCCCCCACAAGCGCCTTATAACCGTTACAAACCTCCTCCGCGTGCTTCCGCCGCATCTCCGCGTACAGCGCCTCATCCACCTGCAATGCCCCGCGGTACGCCTTGTCAAACTGGTCAAACGCCGCGAAGATTCGACCCACGTAATATGATTGGCTCGTTGGCGCTACTCCTCATTCCCGCGGTTGTGACCTACCCGCCTTGTTCGTCATGCGATAACTGCTCGTCACCGACCGGGCATTGCCCAGGATCGTCAGGGAATTGCCCAGCAGGATGCGTAGAAGCGCGTCTTCCGCGGATTTGATGCATGAAACGCCCGCGTGGCCGAACAGCCAATCAAATGCCGAGGCTACCAGATCGAAGCCAGGAGAACCGCGGGGAAGACAGCCCGCCACGTGCGTCAAGAACGAATCCTGCAGAGTGTTCCGGAACAATAATAGATCCTAAGAGTCACCGCGGGAATCCGAGAAAACGTGAAGAAGATCCACCAACAGCCCCACCGCGTTCTCCCCATTCCCCGCGGTTCCTGCGCTACCTCCCATTCCCGCGGTTCCGATGGTTCCAGTGGTTCCAGTGGTTCCAGTGGTTCCCGCGGGGGAGGGAGGGGTTGTGGGATTGGCGGCGCCGCCGATCAAAACTTCGCGGGAAGGGACGTTTGCCGCCTATTTTGAACGCTCCGCGCCCTGCGCCCACCTCGACGGTTTCCTGCACGAAGCTCAGATAGCGCGAGCACAGCGCCAACGCCAGCTGCAGCAGGCTCCCCGCGCACTGCGGGATGAAAACCGCGGGAGCGAAGCACCGCTGCATCAGCGCGAAGATCGCCTACGTCACACGCCTTTCCCGCGGGTACCGCGCTCCGGGCGTTACGGAAGGGCACGTCGCAGCGAGGCCGCGCCTGCACGCTATCTGCGCGTGATTCCCGCGGGGAACGCCTACCGGTGGTTTCCTTGGCGGGCGTTTCCTTCATGAGGGCGGCGATGGCGCTGGTCATGAAGTCGAGGGAGAGCGAGGTGGCGTACACGGATAGCTGCGCAGTGAAGGATTCCCGCGGGTATTAAATTATCAAAAATTTCAAATAAATTTCAAATAAATGTCAAAATAATGTCAAAATAATGTCAAAACAGTGCCAAAAAAAGGTCAAAAAAAGGAGGGAAAGGATATTTCCCACTTTTTCTGGAAAGCGATGGTTTTTTGGAAATTCCAGAAATCGGCGGGATTTTGTGCGAGCTGGGCGAGGAAGCGGAGGAAGCCGTCGGCGAGCATGAAGTTGCGCTGAAAAAGCGCGTGGGAGCCGCAGGACTAAAAGTGATCGGGTTTTGAAAGATGGACGAAAATGGTGGGAATGCGTCGGAAGAAATAGTCGACGATAGGAGACCAGATGGAGACGAGGAGGAAGTTGAAGGCGGGGCGGGAATCCACGCAGATCCCGCGGGAACTCTGCAGAATGGCGGTGCAGTTGTGCGTGATGTGGCTGCGCAGCGTGTCCAGAAGCATCGAAAAGCCGTTCCCGCTGTTCCGCGTGTCGCCATCTACGCGCTCCTGCGGGTGAGAAAGGTGGAAACGGGGAAACGCGGGTGATGACGGAGTCGAGGAAGGGGGAAAGGAAGTTTTCCTGGTAGTACTGTTCGATTTCGGGGATCATGTTAAGGATAACATAGCTTTTCAGAATGATGGTGAGCTTGCTAGAGAGATAGGGAGAAACGTGGAAACAGGGTACGGGTTGGCGGTGTTGCCTTGGACGTTCCGGTCGAAGCCTTGGCGAAGCGAGTTGACCACTTTCTTGCGAAGCGTGTCGGCTCGATCTTTGCAGATGATTAAAAAGGGATAGTCCGCTAGAAGTGAGGAAGCAATGGGGCTCGAACTGATTGTGTAGGCAGAGAGGAGCTTGTTCACCTGGGCCAGATTGCGACTTACACGTTCGAGAAGCAGATAGTCCATCACCTCCAACTGCATTGGGTTTTTACTACTGAACTAGTCGTTAGATTTCAAATCGCTGAGAAGCAATAAAAAAACTTACAGTACTGTAAATTGCTACTGACTGCGTGATGATGGTGTGAATATGAAGGAACTGAGTGAGTGATTGCTTTTTCGCCTCAATCTCCTGGTACCGTTTCAGCAAATTCGACAGTACTTCGCACTCCTTTATCAAATCTTCCTTGTGTTGCTGCAAACGATCCTTATTATCCACCAGAGGAGAACGGATGCTCTCCATCTTCTCTTTCAGACCGTTCAGGCGAAGCGCAAGCGAAATGAACGACTGATAATCCTTATTCATTATACTCATTATTGCACTTTCGCACTGACTCAGAAATGCAGCCAGATCGGATTTCAGATTTTCTAGATCACAAGTAGCAGAATATTTTGCGAGAAACTGCTCAGGATTGAAGTTATCCACGATAAAATCGCTCTCTCCAAATGGAAAGATCCTTTCCTTCTCAGAATCCTCCATCTATACGAATTGACTCTCTGCAATAAACAAAATGTACGCTGTTGCTGAATTACAAATTCGTCCCGATTTTTGGAAAACGGTTTTTAGTCATTTTTATTCTCCCTCATTCTCTTTCGTTTGTGAACTCACTTCATTTATCGTCCCCTTAATAACAACCGCAGTCTCATCTCTACTCACCTCCATTCTTTATAGAAAACAAACAACACTATCTCCACAACTTTATATTGTGTAGCTCTTTAGAAAGTCATATCATGCACACGGACAGAACGACCAGAGAGCAAGAAACGGCCATGCAGGTATTCCTTCATCATGGGGACCTTCTCAATGCACTTCATCAGTTCGGCATCGACTGACTCCTGGAGGGCTTTACGCTCCTTCTTGGTGGATTCGTCGATGTTCTTCTTCGCAGAACTGTTGCTGAAGTAGCTATCGTCGAGAGTAGCAGGAACCTTCAAACCAGAGATATCAATCTTGGTAGAAGTGGCAATCACATGGCACTGATTGACACGCAAGAAAGGGACTTTGTTCAATGTAAAAGGACCTGGAAATCACCGGCTACACGCACTTTCTACCAGACACGAGCAACAATCCAGACGCGAGCTGTTTTAAAAACACGACACGCTTTCCAGCATAACGACCTGCCAGGAGAATCAAAACAGTTCCAGCAGTAATCGAAGCTCGGAGTTTCGTCGGTTTTGGCTTCTCCGTAGCAGGAGCACGAACCTGGAAGAACTTAGGAACGACTCTAGACATGGCGCACTCTACACTTCGTTAGAAATCAACACTTTTCTCGCTCTCAACACCAAATCGCTGAATTGGACCCATCGTCACTCCCACTCACTGACGCGCAAACCTACATTGGTGGAGACAATAGAATTGATTCTATCAAAACCAGAACCCTTTTACCCCCACCCTTATACTTGAATAATTAATCGCCAAATTCAATCAAGCGGTACACTTTAGAATCAAACAAACAATCTAGAAGGTTGTAGGAGCTATTCGGGTCTTATAATGCGATTTACACGCGTCTGCAGTACGCCCAGGGAACGACTTGCATATTTCTTTCCACACCAATCGAGACTTGTCCCGCGTGAGTTTTCGAAGCAGAGCATTCTCCTTCGATGTCCAGGGAGCACTCACCACGTCGGGATGCAGAATGTTCTTCCAACGATCTCGACACTGCATCACGTTCCGACTCACCATGTGGTTGGCGATCTTCGTCCAGTCGTCCAGCCCGTAAAACAGCAAGTACAACAGCAAACGGTTATTCTCCAATGAACTCCATCGTCCCTTTTTCCCTTGAAAGCGCAGGGATTGGAAGTACCGCGAGCGACACTGCACCCACTGCTTCGTCTGCACAAGCTGCGCCACCTTTTTCCAATTCTTTGTTCCATACTGCTTCACTCCCTCCAGCACGGCATTGTCCTCTTCTGCTGTCCATTTCTGATTGTAGTTTTCGATCTCCAGCACGCGGACGAAGCGCTCGAAGCACTGGTACGGCGTGCGCCTCGTATTCAACTCCGAAGCAATTTCCCGCCAATCTCTCCCTCCCTTCTCCTTCACAATCGAATACAGCTGTGAGTCTTCCTCAAGAGACCACGGATCCGTGTTGATAAGCGGGTCACAGCAGTTCAGCCAGTGGACAAAGCAATCATTACAGGTGTGTCCCACTGCGATGGAAATCGACTCCCACGAGAAGGTGCCGATCAGAACAGGAATCATATCGTGCAAAAGCTGGTCCTTCTCCGCCTTGCTGGTCGAGGCATTGTAGCGATGGCAATGGGGAAGCAATTCTTCCGGAACGGACAAATTCTTGATGAGCTCGGTACACTGCGACGACACGAACGAGGTGAGCTTTTGATCCGATTTGAGTGTCCAGCGTTTGATGGAAAGCGGCTTGATGGAGGCCACAGAAAGCACCTTCCCTTCTGACGACACAAAACGAGGGTAGTTCTTCCGCTTGCGAGAAAAAAAGCAGGACGGAGAGGTGGAGGGAAACGAGAGTAGATAATCGCTCGTTAGCTCCTCTGACTCCGATTCCGACTCCTGTGTTAGAAAACTCGTAACTAAATCGATTTGTTGTTGCAGGTGCATTTGGATCGCGCGATTTAGGGACAACAAATGCTCCTTCTTGGCTATTTGCTCCATCAGCTCTTTTCGCTTTTCCTCCTTTCGCTTCTTTTCCTCCTCGACTTCGAAATGATACATCTCGGCGACTTGATGCGTGTCTACTTGATGCAAGGTGGACAATCCCAGACTTGGATCCAGATATCCTGGGTTGTCTGCTTCTCCGAAGAAGTTCAAGAAGGAAAAATTATCCATGAACTTTACACTCCCTTCAGAAAAATTGTAGCTTTCAGGGATTCAGAATTCTTATGGAGTTGAGCTCCAGCGCGAATTTCAAAATCAAATCGATTGTCATGCGATTTCGCGAGAATCGTTCGCATTGCTGTACTTTGGTACAGTAGCCTCCTTTTACTCTATGATACTGCTTATAGTGCAGCTATCTACCGTACAAATCTTTCAGATCAATAAGCATGTTCCACAATCAATAGTTGCTGAAATAATTGGAGTTGTTCACTCTTGCTATAACTAGATCCTATGTCTATTATTACACCATTCTCACTCCTTGTAATTCTTATTTCAACAATTTTCCTGCTATTAACAAACGAAATAAGTCATTATACACCTCTTGAAATAACCCATTCCTCACAAAAGTCAGTCCTTGTTTTATTCTATACAGTTCTTATCATGCTCGCTATTCGAAGAGGCTATCGCATCGTTTCTCCTCGTACTCTCTCTCTTCTTTGTGTGATTTGCTAGTGCGGAGATTCTTTGCTGAAATACCCGCTGTAAATATTGTAGAAGAGGGAGCAAGCGCAGCTGCACCGGCCGCAGAGAAAGCTGTTGTGTCGACTGCAAAAGCGGCCGACTCCTCTATGAAAATGGTAGTTGAACAACCCAAGATGCAGTCCATGGCTCCGAAGGTGGCAAAGGAGCAACCCAAGAAAAAACGCTCGACGGTGAGACCTTTCCTTTATGGATGTGCCTTTGCAATGGTTGCTGGTTATTTCTTTGTGTACCAACAGATTTGGAATAGTGCACACCAAATGGAGCAGGCTCTTGCCGATATCCGTGTGGACACCTATGAGAGACTGGACCGCATGAGCGAGCGTGTGTCAGAGCTGGAATCAAAGATATAAAACGTAAGTCCTTGTATTTTCCATTCTTTGTTTCATTTTCTCTTTCAATCGATACGGAATGCAACACCAATTCAAAAAACTCCTGTTTCCAAACAAATACACGCAAGATCATGTACATTACATAAACTCTCCCCAATCCGATTAAAACAAGAATGAAATGACAATAATAGCAAACTAAATAAACAAGCAATGACGGATTCCACTCTTCGAAGCCGCGTTACTTCGGAGCACCAAAGGCTTCCGGAAGTCTCTCAATGGTGTAGCGATGATTCACAATGAACATGATCGGAACACCCGGAATCTTCCGAATCCGACGCTTCAAGTCTTTATCGCAGGTGGCAACGATGTAACAACGATTCTACCCTTTACAGCAACCCATCACGCCTACAGTTCGAACACGCTCAACAATACAGTCATCAGCATAGGTTCCCTTGTGAGAGCAGGTGAGTCGCTGGAAGCGAGGGTCTTTCGCCAGACGGAGAGCAACATGATAGCGAGAGCCCAGCTTCTCCAACTCAGCCATGACGCAATCCGTGATATAAGGAATGCACTTTGCAAGCAAGCAATCCATTAGATTCTTCATAATGTCCAGCTTGTTCTGAATCGAGAAGTTGATAAAGTTCGTATCGATCAAAACTCGGAATGGAGGACCGAGCGCGGTATTGTATTTAAAGAACAGACTGGACGGCACCTGCTCAACGTGACGTACCAACGCCTCTTTTTTCTGCTTTTCCTTCTCTTCCTCCTTTTTCTGGTTTGCAACGATGCGAGTGTCCTTGGTTGACAATATCTTCGCCTTTACCGCATAGCGACGCGTCTTTGTCTTTTTCGTCATGGTTTATTTTTTGAGTTGACTCGAATCGATTATTCCCGCGATTTCTGTTGAAAATACTATAGAAAAGTCGTTACTATGTCGAGTCTTAACCTGCTAAATCCAAAGGCAGAGTACATAAAAAAGCAGCAGGCAATGGCCGTTCAGATCACTGCTGCTTCTGGAATGCAGGAAGTTCTCAAAACAAACTTGGGTGCGCTCTATTGAGACTCTGTATAATTATTCTAGGACCGAAAGGTACCATGAAAATGCTCGTGGGGAGTTCTGGGCAAATCAAGTTGACAAAAGACGGAAACGTGTTGCTCCATGAAATGCAAATTCAGCATCCTACCGCTTCGCTGATTGCTAGAACGGCGACTGCTCAGGACGATATTACTGTTCATTTTGAAAGGAATCGCCTTATTTTTCTAGGGAGACGGCACAACATCGACGGTTCTGTTCATTGGTGAACTCATGAAGGTGGCAGCTCGCTATGTGAACGAAGTAGGTGCAGCGTTGCTCCTTCTCAATGCAGGGCGTGCATCCGCGTCTGTTGACCGATGGATTTGAAATTGCCAAGACGGAATGTCTCCGATTCCTCGACACGTTCGCTGTACTTTTCTATTGTCTTTCTTTCGATCCCAGGAGCCTATCGAAGACATCGAGAACGACCACGAGCTTCTCTACAGCGTGGCCCGCACCTCCCTGCGCACCAAGCTCGAAGAAACCGTACCTCTCTCATCATTCCCTGCATAACGTCCAGCTTGCGGACCACCTCACCGAAATGGTCACCGACGCGGTGCTCACCGTGAAGCGTCCTGGCAAACCGCTGGACATCCTGATGATCGAGCAAATGGAGATGATCACGAAGGACGCTCTGGACAGTCGCCTGGTGAAAGGCCTGGTGCTGGACCACGGCGCCCGGCACCCGGACATGCCGAAATCGTTGAAGAACTGCTACGTCCTGATCCTGAACGTGTCTCTGGAGTACGAGAAAAGCGAGACGAACGCGTCGTTCGTGTACAGCACCGCGCAGGAGCGCGACGAGCTCGTGGCCGCCGAGCGCAAGTTCACCGACGACAAGGTGCGCAAGATCATCGACTTCAAGAACACGCTCTGCCCGCCGGACGGCGACCGCAGCTTCGTCGTGATCAACCAGAAAGGCATCGATCCGCTCTCCCTCGACATGCTCGCCAAGGCCAGTTTTCCCCTTTTTTTTTGGAGTTCCGCGTAGACATCCTCGCGCTGCGACGCGCCAAGCGACGCAACATGGAGCGTCTCTCCCTCGCCTGCGGCGGCATCCCCATGAACAGCGTCGACGACCTCTCCCCCGCGGTTCTGGGCTTCGCGGGGCACGTGTACGAGCAGACGGTCGGCGAGGACAAGTTCTGCTTCGTCGAGGACGTCCGCAACCCCTTCTCCTGCACGCTGCTGCTCCAGGGACCCAACCAGCAGGTCGTGGCGCAGCTGAAGGACGCGGCGCGCGACGGAATCCGCGCGGTGAAGGTCGTGGAGGGCGGAAATGGTGAGGCGTAGAACGCGCTGGAGGACGGCCGGCTGGTGCCCGGAGCGGGCGCGTTCGAGCTGGCGGCGTACGAGGATTTGATGAAGATGGCGGGAACGGTGGAGGGAAAGGCGAAGCTGGGCGTGCGCGCGTTCGCAGAGGCGCTGCTGGTGATCCCGAAGACGTTGGCAGAGAATAGCGGATTTGATGTGATGGTGGGGAAGGAGAGGCGGTGTGATGTGTAGGATACGATTCTGGAGGTGCAGGAGGAGATTCAGAAATCGGGAATGAAGGGAGGGATTGATGTGGTGACGGGAAAGGTGATGCTGCCGTCTATGGAGGGCGTGTGGGATAATTACCGCGTGAAACGACAGTTTATCCAGCTGAGCACGGTAATCGCCAGCCAGCTGCTATTGGTGGACGAGGTGATGAGTGCAGGTCGGAACATGGGTGCTCAGTCACAAGCGCCAGCGGAAGAGGATTAAGTGTTTGGGTTGAGTTTTTTTTGTTGCAAACGGACTGGAAAGCGAGACAAACTCGGCTTTCCAAAAAATTCTTTTATGAACGGTATTGATGGAAATCCTGCTGGGAATGCCATCCCGGCACAGATACCAATCTATAGAGACATTTATGACTACTTCATGTTTATTCGTTCCCAATTGGATTATCGAAAGGGAACCTATGTTTTCAATTTGCGGAAGAAACTGTACTGCGAGCAGATCAACAATATTCTAGCCTGCGCAAGCCAACTGAGTTTTCTTGATAACTCTACTTTTGTTAATTCCCATGAGCAGAAGCTGGAAGGGAACTACATGGATCTCGAATGTGAATTTATTCGAACGATTCATTACAACCTGCAAGTCTGTGTTGTCACCGTAAGCGTTCTATTTTGTGCTCTCATCTCTAGTACTGGTATAAATTGTCCACTACGGACCCTTCTTTAACAAACCTGATTCAAACTTTTCTAACTCTCCTTCATAAAGATATCGGCCTGTATTCTATGCAATATGTTCTTCAGATTTACCGAAAATATATTCCGGACAAAACCAGTTCTACGGAAGTACAACACTCCATTCTCGCCTATTTGATGGTTTGCGAGCTGGACGGTGAGCTTAAAAAGACGATATTCTACAAACTTTTCCCCTCTCTTCTTCACCCCGCCAGCGGCGTGAACCTCGGCACCATCGGTGCTTCCATTCGTTGCCATCTCGCTCAGATCGAGGATTCTCCCGGTTTCCGCTTTGTAGTCCCCTATCTTGTGTGCTGCCCGTGCATTCTGTGATTTCTAGCGCTTCGGTACTTCCTATCTTTTCGACATTACCAACGACAAGTCGCTCGATGTTGTCTCCACCTATCTAGACAAGGTTCTTCGTGCGGCACTCGCTCTTCCCCTTATTTTGTAGTCATTTTGCAGCAGATTCGATGCGTGATTCCGAAGCAAGAAGAGGATTATTTGGCCAACTTTCAGCTCGCCGTCATGACGCTTATGAGGGAATGGGACTCGGATAAATCGCTTAAGAAGCTCCTGGAGCAGTTCTTTACAAACCGGGATTATCTGGTAAGCCAGAAGGAGGGTGATGAAATGTAGTGGGTTACGCGAACGTTGCCAAGGGAGCAGGTGAAGCAGATCATGGCGGGGATGGTGCAAATAGTGGAATATGTGGGGAGTTTCCCGTATTATAAGGAGTTGCAGATGGAATTGGCTAACAACTTGTCGAGTCTTATGAGTCTTTATCAATCTTGAATTGTTTGTTTGTTAGAAGTAATGTGGGAATGGAGGAAATGGATGAAGGTTGAATAGGATTGTTTTTTGTTTCCTCGTAGGTATAGAGCACACTGAATCGTAAAAAATAAAGCATTGTTACTTGAGGTATGAATTCTGGTTCTGGCACTATTCCTTTTCAGTATCACTGATTCTGGTCATCTATCCAAGTTGGACTTTCAAGCTTGTTTCTCAGTACATATTTTCTCTTTCTCTTTACAATTTACAACCCTAGTAGTTATGAATTGGCGTGTATAGCGTGAAAATTATTGGCAGCCTTTTTCGCGCCAAAAATGCCATTTCTACCTTTCAATTACGTTGCCCTTACAAAACCGCCTCTCCGCCCGCGTCCCTATAGAATCCGAGCACCCTTCTGACGCCGTACGCCGTAGGGAACAAAAATTATCGCGCAAAAACACGCCAATACATAACGACTCTCTGAAGAGTCAATGATTTCCCCTGTTCCCCCTGCTGTCTATAGTAAAAAAAGAAAGTCATGTACGGCAAATTTTAAACTCCCCTACACTACTCCATGCTTATCCAAGGCTCATCTACCAATGGAATGTTCTCCTGGATCGACCCATACAAGTATTGGACCCCTACATCATTTCCATGACTGCCCAAAGTAAAAACAATCTCTACTTTACATGTCCTTCAATTGGTAATGCCTGAACGCGAGTGTATGCACATTGTCGTCCAAGATCCAACGCTTGTTGTCCGTGCACGTCATGAGGGTCGTGGTTTGTTCCTTGGTGGTGATATCGAATCCTTGGTTGTTGATTCTCTTGAACGATCCCTCAACGATTGCATCTCCCTTCTTCTCTGCTTCGAGAACACGCTTGTACAAATCGATATTCTTCACACTCATTCTATCACCATCGAGTACCACACTGCGAAATATTCCCTAGGCCGCACTGAGTACTACGTTTTTCTCATCAACCAGGCAGTACATCTTGGGTCTGAGACCCACGAACTTGGTAATACGAAGCCCATTATGTTCGTCCTTGAAGATAGGATCCAGTATCCTCTTGTTGAAGTTGAGGAATGATGAGAGCGGAGGGAACTTGCTCTTGTCCACCTCATGATCGTAATAGTTCACGAGTTGTCTATGGAAAAAGCTCGTGTTATCCAAAATATGAGAAATCGAATGACTTGTACATATTGCACGACTTGTGAACGATGTTTCCCTTGTCGCTCAGCAGCACAATGAGCGAGTCCGTGTTCTGTCCCAACAGCTCCACGCTATCGAATGTCGTCTTGATCACATTGTAGTAGAAATCGTAGATGATGTGCTTGGACATGTCCAGAATGGCGAACCCGATGAAGAATGGCTTCAACACCTTGCGCACAGGTGTGTTCAGCTTGATACCGATCAGATTCTCGGAAAATATGGTAGTCCCAGCGATCATGTCGTACCCATGCTTCTGAATGATTGCCTCACGTTCATTCCATATGTTAGCGAACTTCACCTTCATTCGTTTCAACTCAGTCTCCACGAATTTGCCATGGGTTGAATTTGCCAACAGCTTGTATAGGTTCTTCTCCACAATGGTCTTGGACTTCGCTCGTTTCTCACTCAACATGTTCACATATTCGAATATGAATGGAGTTTATTTGAGGAGTGTGTATGTCAAACACTATGAACGAAATCAACCAAAGTAAATTGAATGAATCACTGTCGTACATATTCAGCAGCAATCCAAACAATTACACGTTCAAGAAGCTCGATAACATACTCATCAATATGCCAGAGAACGACGGCAAACATGTCCTCGTGTGTGAGACAATGGATGGCGTTCCTCAATATTCATGGACGATACCTTCTGGATGCTTTGTGAAAGTCAATAATGCCACACTGTTTGAACATACATCCACATCCACTCAACCATTCAATAATCAATGCCAATTCCAATTATCGTCGGCTTTATATCTGGCGATCACATCGATTCCATGTTACAATGAGAATGATGCCCTATTCAAACATTGTGATTCCATCGAATTGGTTGTGGGTAAGGGATACAAGGTGAGTGTTTCAATGGATGGTGTGTGATTGCTCGATATGCCCTTCATCGATACACTCAACAATCTTGTGACCCTTTCCCATACCAAACTGATAAATGGAATAGAATGGACAAGTGAGAGTCATACGATCTCTGTATTCATGAATATCCCTTCTCTTGTATGTCTGGGAGGTGTGAAGGGCATCACGATCGTTTTCGAACACTTGGGCGAGGTTGTTGCTGCTTCTTCTTCTGGGTGCTCGTAATGGGTCGATGTGATGTTGCTGCCTCTCTCAATGCATTGGGTTCCTTACCACTCTTGGATCGATTGATGGGTGGTGCTGGTTGTGGTTTGCATTTGCTTGCCAGCAGTTCCCAATCATAACACTTCTGTGTGCTATCGCTTTCCACATTCTTCACTTCGTACATCAATGGCATGATGTGATCGTCAATATCAACAACTTCAACCAAGTCCTGAGACCATTTGATCGTCAATGATCGCTTTTCCAGAATGCGAGGTCTTCGTGTCACTCCAACATAATCACCAACATTGAATTGAGGTATTGTATCCTTTGTTGTCATGTTGGATGGTTCTGTTTTCTTTATGTACAAGATATCGTTGTTGTTGTTAAGCCAAATGACATTGGGTGTATATCCGATGTCTCTGTTCTTCCTTCCATTGTGTCGACGAACTGCACCATCGATCAAATCGAACCATACACCTTTCCATTGATTGAATGGAATGAAGGAACCATGATGTGTTCCTTGATATCTCGAATTGCTCGTTTGGCTAGTACTGCCTTATTCGCTGAATCCATGTGATACATGGTGATATCATACTTGTTTAAGATGTTGGTACGAAAGATGGCATTGGTGAACTCGGTACCTCGATCCGAGCAACTATGCTTTGGTGATTCACCATATGTTTGAATGATATCCTTCATCGCATGCGTGACTTCTGTATCACTCTTGCTCTTCAATTTCCGAGTCATCAGGTATTTCGAATATCCATCAATACATACAAGGACATATTTGTATCCACGATTCATGTAGAATTCGGTACTCTTTTATGATCCCAATACTTCCTGTATGGATTTGTGTTGTTTGGAATAGAAATCGATGAGATCGATGAAGTATATGTTTCCCTTGAACCCACTGATGATCATTCGAGTTGCACCTCTTCGTTTTGCTGGTTTCCATAGTTCCTTGATCTCATTCATACTCCCCCCACACACCTCGATAAATGAGTCACTATATTCAAGGAATGAATAAGTTGTGTCAGAGGAAGAATCACAAATTGGTTATAGACTCGAATTACATTTTCTCCACTATACACTATTTCAAATAGAACATCACTCACATTCAACATTGCAATGATCATTTCGATATCATATGTACCTCGTAAAATCGATAGAGTATGGAGACTGGATCCAAATACACTCATAACTTGTATCCATTGTGGAAATTGAGAATGTAGTATTAATCATGGTGTTCAGAATGGCAATGATTTCACTCAGTGTATAATAACCAGGCGAGATCGTTACCTCTTCACCATTGATGTTTGTCACCACATTGGTTGAGTCCACAATATTGAACATGACTTGATTGGGTTTGAATAGAACAGTCATGGAAGTGATAAATGGATTTCTGAACTTGGAAGGATTGATCCATTCGAATGAACCATTGATAGGTGAATCTTGTATGAGAATGGAATAATGCATGTTCTCTCTTTACCAAAGACACTCATGACTTGCATAGACAACAATAGATGGATTTGTGATGACAATATACACATATTGGGTTTCGGTCATTACAAATAGGCAAACAAACATGTAAATACGAGAGAAATAACAATAATTCACCTTAGCTAGGTACGTCTACTACTTTCTTGTACCCAAGTATAACTGATACAACAAACACAAAATAGAAACGAGCACTAGGTTGATAGGAGAAAGGAATTGGTGTAAGAAAGCACGAAACCTGGTTCCTGACCGATGATTGTCGACCAGACAGCCTAGGAACAATAGTCGAGGACTCAGAATCGGTTGGTCGATTACAACAACGGACAAAGAATCGCAATTGTGGTCATTGTGCAAAATAGCATATAAAGAAAACTGCCACCAGGTTTCACGTTAAAAGTGTCATTCCCTTACTACTATTGTTCCATATTAATGAGGTTTAAGATGGCTCCAAGTTGATAAATCATATTATTATTGGTCGAAAAACTTTTTGTTATTGTGAAAATAGGATCATTTTTGTTATGTGACATGTATCAAATATAGATGAACTCATCAATAGAAATAGGAAGGATGAATCAGTCATTTACCACAAGTATTGTTGTATTTCCTTTGATATATGACTAATCTGTATAATATAGTCTCGAGATACTTTGAATCAATACTTGGACAATGAATATCTGCAATAGAATAACAACAAATGTGTATTGTTTCATTTTTGTGCATATTGTGTGATATGAATTGTATCAAAGCCCATAATGAATTCACATTCTAAATGTGACAACTAATAATGTTGCTAGTTCGTGTTCTAATCTGAGAGAAGGAATGAGCAGTATTAACAAACAAGAGTCTTCACAATAGTTATTCTCAATAGTATTGATTGTGAATAGTTGATGTTTTGTTATCATTATCATCATTATTATTGTTCTGTATGGGAAGATAGAATAATGTGTATTTGTGATTGATTGTATATTTTGGCATATTAGTATACTCCATGGAATAGAATACTGTGAAAATAAGATAGGTAAGTGTGGAATAATCAGAAATGGACAATATGAATGAAAACAACAATACTAGAATGTAATAGAATAGTAGAAAATAACATACGTATAAAGTAGCAATGGAAATGAAGTCATTTTCACAAATTATGACGAACAATAGCTGAAATGATGATATTTGACAGGGATCTGTTTTAGCACATCCTGATACGAATTACATAGATCATGCATAGTTTTGCTTCAAAACAAA